TGCCGGCCACTGTCTTAAGCGTCTTCCTTAATCTCCTACAATCCTGCAAAATAGCGGCTGTTTGTCCAGGGCTGCATCGCTAGGCTAGAACAGCCTGGCACATAGGAGGTATTTAATAAAACTTCCCTGGGCCTTCTCTGTTCTTAGCACCTCTTTGCCTTCCTGGAGGCTCCTTGACACAAGGGCCCAAATCTCTTCCACATCAAGAATCCCGTACCCCAACCTTCATAGCCGTCTCCACTGATTCTACTTGCTCAGTCCTTTGTCCCTGCAATGGTCAGTCCCTGACCAACTCCTGCAGGTCCCCTACTCGTCCCTCCCACCTGAAAAGTTAACCTCTCCAACTGCTAGAAACACCCCCTGCCCCCCGCCCCAACCTCTAGCCCCTCCTTTGCCTGCTTCTCTTTCCCTTTTCTTTTCTTTTCGGCATCAGAGGTCCCACACTGATCTCTGCCCCTTCCTTGAGTTTCTCTGGCTGGGCCCTGAGCTTCTCCTTCCTCTTCATCACAACCCCCTACCCACCCCCGTGGCCTGTTTTCTCTGCAGTGATGCCCACGTCTCCAGCTGCCCCCAGCGTGTCCGAGGTGACTCATACTGGCCTCTGCATCATCCCCCAAACCCTCCCCCCCCCACTGCCCCATCAGTGTGCTTCCTTCTCCCTAGAAAACAGTGGGCCCCAAATTTGTATTATCCTGGACTTCTTTGTTCCTTCCTTACTTGTCATCTCCCCACTGTGCCCCCATCGATAAAAAAAGACAGCCCACTGGTCCCCAACATCTTTCTACGTGGCTTCTAGCCACTCCACTCCTAACCCGGCCAGCCCCGCTCTGCTCCAGCCCTGGCCTCACTCTCCCCTGCAACATGGTGGTCATGTAGAGCTTCCAAAAGGCAATCTGGCCTTGTCCTTCCCCTGCCTAGAACTCTCCAGGTTCCTCTCCCCCATGGGTAGCCCCTAGCCAGCCTTCAGAGCCTTCTGAGACCTGGCCCCTGCCGACATCTGCCGTCTCACAAGCCTCCTTGAACTAGTCCCAACCAGTCCTTATGTTTGTTCCCTGGAGAAGCCAGGCCCTCTGTCTGGCTCTAAGATCCTATGCCTGCCTTGATCTTTCCTTTTCTCATTCTTCAGGCCTCAGTTCACACACCCCTGCTGCAGGGCAGCCCACACTGCCTCAGGCTGGGTCAGGAACTCCTCTGGGTCCCCAGAACCCCTTTGTTTTTCCATCATGACCCTGACTGGCGCAGCCTGGGTCATCACACGCCCACCACGGCCCAGGCTTCACCGTCACAGCCCCATCACTCTGGCCTGTGCTCCTCCCATCTCAGTGCTAACCACTCGGCTCTCTCTCCCTGTGCCCCGTGTAAATTGGGATTATTTCAGACAGTTGGTGATTTCTGCAACCCTCACTTGTCCCAATATGTGTAAAGGGAGAGGCAGGGCAGGGGATGGACGTGTGGGAGAAAATGACCCCATTACATATCTACCCAGTTAGGCTGGGAGAGCACCCCATCTACTTCCTTTCCACGTCAAAGTCAAGGCAACCAATCACTCTCAAACCCAAGAGACCTTCGGACTCTGTCTTTACTTAGGGCAACGAGAAGGGAGGGGCTAGATGTTGGCTCCTCAGTCTGAGGGTGCATGTTCCCTCTGAAAACATCAAGACTGTCACAGCAGGACTGAACAGAGCTGTCCTGGGTGCTTTCCCAGGCCCGAGGCTAAATAACATCATGCCAGAGCTCAACAGGGAGGGGGCACTTGTCCCATTCCACTTGGGAACCCTGGGGCCAGGGAGCACCTTCTTGAGTGGGCAGGATCTGCATCAAGGTGGAGCTTAAACATGACTGTCAAAGCCCTGCTTCTGCCCCCCCCCCCCCCAGGGAGAGGCAGGGAGCTGCCCCTACTGGACCAAGAAAGGGCTACTGAGGGATGGCATCCAGGACAATGTCCAGGACAACGGTGGGCTCCACTGCTCTGTCTGGCTGTAGCTGTCTCTGTACTCCACCCCAGAAGGCACCCACGACTTCACCTGAGGACTACAAAACTGAGCCAAAGCACTGAGAAGCTCAGAATCACAAGTCTGCCCCCCACCCCTGACTGCCCACACTGGCCCTGTGGCTGGAAGGATGTTGAGAATTTGGCTGCGCAAATAATTCCAAGGAGCAGCTCCAAAGAGGTCAAGGGCAAAACTAAAAGTCAAGTGGTCAGACTGTCCACTGTGTGATGAGGAGCCACAAATGATTATGAGCAGGGGAGGATGATGGAATAGGGCGGGTTTCAGATAGAGCCTCCTGGCTGCCACAGAGAGTATGGATCAGAGTGGGGAGACGGGGGCCAGGAGTCCAAGAGGTAACCAGCCAGGGAAGGGCCCATGCGGGAAAGGGCTAGGTTGAGGCTGTGAGGAGAGGAGGAGCCCCAAGAGCCCTCTCTTGGATTCTAGCTCCCCTTACCACTTGTTCCCCGAAGGCCCTGGCCTCTGCCACTGCTCAAAGACCATTTACTTCAAACTTTCGGTCTACTCTGGGAAAACAAGGAGCCTGAGGAACTACTCCAGAAATGCAGGACGTTAGTGGACTGGCTAGCTTCCCAGCTTGTCCACCTGGCTCCAAAGCCAGAATGAGGGCACCTGGGACCCAGGTGGACATGGTATTGGGAGACAGTTCCTAAGAGAAATAGAAATGGAGGCAAAAACAACTTTCCAAATACTGTTTACTTCACTAAAACCTGGAGAGAGGCAGGGAACAGGCATGTCTGGGACACCAAGCCTAGGTGTGCACATTGACAACAGCGACATACAGGGCCAAGGTGCTGAGGGCCAGCAGCCCTGTCACCACTGCTCGGGCCAGCAGTGCCGTCCAGCTGCCCAGGGAGCAGAGGTGGACGAAGGTCCTGCGGGGAAACATCGCAATGAGAGAAGGAGAAGAGACAACCCACCCCCATTTGGACCCAGCCTCAAACCCCACTCAGCTCACTCCATGACAAAGGCCTTGTAGACACTGAAGACCATCAGCAGGAGGACGGCCGGCCGGAAGGTGTGGTACAAGTCATAGCGTGTTATCATCCAGACCTGGGCAGACGCAACGATGTAATGGACCTAGAGGGAGGCAGAAAGTTGGGGCCGGGCCTTGGAGAGGAGTACAGCCATCGGTAGAAAGGTGTGTAGGGGCAGAGAAGGACCGCGTACCAGACTGATGTTGGAGTCAATGCTCATCTGGATGTATTTCCAGTCAAACTCAATGCCCCGGGCTCCGACCCAGAGGGGGATGCAGCTGAGGAAGGCAAAGGGAGGGGTTCTCCAGCACCCAGACACCCTTAGCACCCAGACTCTGAGCCCCCACCCTCCAGCACCCCGTGGAACCCAGGTGTCCCTTCTCAGGAGTCTGGGCTCCAGGCTGCTGCACACACCGGGACATAATGAGCTCGGCGGTGGCCCAGCCTAGGGCAGCAACCATGATCTTGTACTCCCCCTTGCCGGCATTCCGGGACATGACAAGGTTTAGGCCTATCAGGTCTGCCACATCCACGCTGGCCTTCATGAACTCCTGTGGGTCAGGTTGAGGCTTAAGTGAGCACAGAGGCCAGGGGGCCCTGCTTCTGCACTCCCTTCCCCTCCCTTGCTCCACTCACCCCAATGAAGTCATAGATGCCACCTTCCCAGGTGGGAAAGAAAGTGGCCAAGAACAGCATCTGAGAACAGAAAGCAGAAAGAGGTCACGTCAAGGTGAGAGGATAATCCACGTGGGTTTTGTGGGAAGTTAGTGTGTACATGGAGGGCAGGACACTGAGGTTCTGGTGGCCCATCCGGGAGAGGGAGCATCAGACGGTAGCAAGATTATACACAACTGGAGGAGATATAAGGGTAGGTGCCCCGGTCCCTGAGGAAGTTTGAGTTCTGTGGTGATCCCAGGGAATCTGAGTCAGGTCTGGAGGTGCAGGGGTGGCTACCTGGGCAGTCTTGGCAGCACTGTGTGACACCCTGGGGGTTGGTTCTCACTCTTAACCATACCAAAAAAACCTCTTAGCCAACCACACAACTGAGGTTTTCCCAATTTTACTAAGTGCTACGCAAAAGTTGCTTCTAGGCCTTTACTCAGGGTCCGCCCCCTTCCACAGTCCACGCTGTATAGGTATTCTGGAGCCGTCCCCACGCAGAGTCCCGGGGGCGGTCCCACCGCGGGGGACATGCGGCGAGGGCGGGCCCCTGGGTTTGAAGAGCCTGGGGGCCAGACACGTGGGTTCCGGGCCGCCCTCACCTTGCACAGCTGCACGAAGAGGTAGGTGACTCCAGCCTGGACGCATTTCCAGAAGGCGTTGTACTCTGACCTGGAGAAGCGGGCGGTGAGGGGTCGGCCCGGTCCCGCGCCCTCTCCGCCCCGCGCCCGCCCCGCACTCACAGGCCGCTGCACTTGTACGTGATGAAGTAGGGGAAGTAGGCGAGGGCGAAGCAGTTCCCGAAGTGGAACAGGGTCATAATGCCAGCCGCCCGGTCCCGCCAGCGCGGGGGTCGCGAGGGGCGTCTCCAGGCGCGGGTCTCTGCCTCAGCCGGCGCTCTCGCCGGGGCCGGGGCCGGGGCCTGGCGCCCACCTGACTGGCCGCGGCCCGCGCACGGCCTTCTGGGAAAGGTAGTCCCGCCCGGGGCGTCGCGCCGAGTGACGTCAGAGCGCCGGTGCTACGACCCTGGTTCCTTGTGCTCCCGCGCCAGGTGCCCTGGGGACCGACTTCCGGCCACGCCAGGCTTCCAGGACCACGGGTATCCCCGTTTCCCTGAAGTGGAACCGGGCTCCGGGCCGAGCGTGACCCCTTTGCCCGTGGGCGCAGGCAGGTCGAATAAGCGTGTGGCGGCCCTAAACCCGATCTGAACCCGCAGGATCGGCGCAGAGGCACGGGGCGCAACCGTGTGCACTCGTTTTTATTTCATCATCAACCCAGCGGCGCAGAGCCCTCGGGCCAGGCGGCAGAGCGTGGGAACGGGAGGGACGGGTTCCGGCCAAGGAGTACGGGGAAGCAAAGGAGGGGCCTCCCCCTTCACTTGTCCCGGCTGAACATGTAGCGGAGGAGGTCGACCACCCGGTGACTGTAGCCATACTCGTTGTCGTACCTGTGAGAGGAGGGAAGGGAGGCTCAGGGGGGTCCCTCCAGACCACCTCTTAGTTTCCTCCCACAATTCTCTGATCACTTCCCCCTTACCAGGAAATGAGCTTCACAAAATTGTCGTTAAGTGCAATGCCGGCTTTAGCATCGAAGATGGAGGAGTGGGTGTCGCTGACGAAGTCCGTAGAGACGACCTGGGCATCAAATTTAAAAGGTAAGTGTGGGTAGCAGAGCAAGAACCTCCAGGAGGTCGGGCTCGGACTCATAGGCACACTGTCCACCCATTCGTCTACAGTGTTTAATGTATCCCTACTGTGTCCCAGCTCTGGGGACAGAGTATGACGTAGGCAAGTGGGGGTTCTGCCTGTGGGGGACTGGCCAAAGGACACAGACCCCAAACATCCTAATGCTGTACTGATGTATTACTTCCTAGGAACAATGCATGCACTTGGAATGGGCCAGAAAGGAAGCCCTCTCTGAGCGGTGGCCATGAGCCTGGGTCTGGCTGACTAGGAGGATCTGGCCAACTTGAGCCCTCAGTCAGTACATTGTCTGAGCTGGAAAGAGCTGCAGACACAGGTCCTGAGGGTTTTAGCCCTAGTGTGGGTTCACACTAGGGGCCACAGGGGAGTTTTTAGCAGTGGAGTGATACCATCTGATTCTGTTAAAAGAAGAGGTCCCGGAGGCTGTGTGGGAGTGGACCTGCATGAGCTAAAGCAGGGAGACAACACCAAGGTGGATGACATACAGAGATGGCACTTCTGATGGTGACATCAACTCCTCACATGGAAGGTACTGGCCAAATGCTAAAAAATAGGAGCTCTGTTGTCTTTTGTTCACTGAGCATGTTATGAGCACTTGTTGTGTGCCAGGCTGGAAGGAAATGAAAAGATAACCCCTAAATCTCTGCTTTCTTGGCATGCACACGCTATTGGGGCCAACAATAACTATGAAATGAAATTTCAGTTGAGGAATAGGGCCACAAAAAGAACATCTTTTTGAGGGGATTCCTTGCCAAAGAGGGAGGTTGAAATGGAGACTTGGATAAAGTGAGAGCAGACTGGGTGGTAGATTTTCTAGACCAAAAGAACAGCAAGTGCAAAAGCCCTGAGGCAGGGAGATCTACCTTCCCAGCCTTGCAGTTTGTATCTTGGCACATTGAGGGCAGCTCTCTGGCAAGTGGAAATCACATGCCTTCCCCTGAGGGCTCTTCCCAGGGTCTCCTCTCCTCAGCCCCTACCTCATCCTCGGTGTAGGCAAGGATGCCAGCCATGGGCCCCTTGGCTGCTGCTTTTACAGCATCTTTGATGGCCGAATAGGAGGCAGGCTTGGCCAAACGGCAGGTCAGGTCCACGACAGACACGTCTGGGGTTGGTACCCGGAAGGCCATTCCTGTTAGCTTCCTGGAGAATCCGTCAGGGATGGGAGTCAGAACTTAGGAATGTCTCTTTCCATTCCCCCTTACTTTGAGTGCTGGCCAAGGCCCCTGCTTTCCCCTTAAGGATTTAAGTCCAGTCCAGCCCTCATACCCTTTGAGCTCTGGGATGACTTTGCCCACAGCTTTGGCAGCCCCAGTGGAGGCTGGGATGATGTTCTGGTGGGCGCCCCGTCCGTCTCTCCAGGCCTTCTTAGACGGCCCATCCACTGTCTTCTGGGTGGCCGTGTAGGCATGGACTGTGGTCTGGGGGAAGAAGGCCAAGGTAAGGCCTAAGCTCTCATGCCTCTTCCCCCCAGGGCTAGGATGGTGGCCTAGGTGTGGAGGCCGGTGGGGCCACCACAGACCACAGGAGGGGCTCATGCAGGCTATGGTCCAGCTGGTGGGCCTCTCCTCCCCAAACCAGTCTCTTCCTGTTAACACCGTATCCTAAGCAAGGCCTGGGAAGAAGAGTTTGGGTTTCCCTGCCATCCCTCCTGCCCCAGCCCCTTGTTCCCAACTCACCATCAGCCCTTCCTCGATCCCAAAAGACTCATGGATGACTTTGGCGAGCGGGGCCAGGCAGTTGGTGGTGCAGGAGGCGTTGCTGAAACAGCCCGGGCGTGCACGGGCACCGTGAGGCGAGCTGTAGAGCTACGCTCCACCCTTGCCCCTTCTAGAGTCTGCACGCAGGCCTGATTTGGTGACTAGTTGGGAAGGGGGTGAGAGGGATCAGTGGGGCTGCCTCAGACTGAAGGAGGCACCTGAGGGGCAGTGGGGGGAAGCTCCCCAAGCACGTTCTCCAGCAACTGTGCGTTTCTAACCGAAGGTTTCAGGGCAGCATTGACATGATAGCTGGGCAGGCGTTGGGAAGGAGCCGCAGAAACAGATTGATGGGAAAGAGGCCCCAGGGGCCTGGTGGGGCTGGGAGAGGGGAGGGCAAGTCTGTACCCTCCCTGCCACAGGCTGGCATGTCCTCAAGGATGTCGCTGCCCTGTTACCTGACAACGTTCATGGAGCCGGGGTCATAGGAGTTTTCATTCACACCCATGACAAACGTGGGTGCGTCTGGTGAGGGCGCGCAGATGACCACCCGCTGGGCGCCTGATGAGACGTGTTCCTGGGGAGGAAGTGTGAGTGTCGCGTGCTTCAAGCGCCACGGCCCCCCAGCCAGCCAGCCCTGGGCACCCCGCTTACCGAAACTGCCTCTAGGGAGAGGTACACGCCTGTGGCCTCTACCACATAGGGGTTCCCAACACTCTTCCAGGGGATTTCTTTGGGCGTCTTGCTGCAGGGGGGGGCGGGGTGAGTCAGTCTCCTCTGCGCAGGCTCTGCCACCCTGGTCCGCAGCCTTCGCCACTGAAGAGGCTGGCCAGATGCATTCCTGCAGGTGCCAGCCCGCCCAAGCCCACCTGTGCCCCTGCCCCACACGCACCCAGCTGCCCCAGGTGGCTTGCTTTTCATCACTGTCCCCCTCTGGGCCACTTTTCCTCTCTTGACTGCGCCACTCCTGCTATGGCTGGGTAGAGACGGCCACCTCCTCAACTTGGGCCTCAGTTCCCTCAAAGAACTTCCCCGACTACTCCCAGCCAGGCCAGACCCTTTCTGCATAAGCTGCCCAGAACGTAGGCCCTGTGACGGTCCTGCCCAGCTACGTTCTGGTCCCCAGCTGCGACAACATCTCCATGAGCCCTCTCCTCTTGCCTTTACCCCTCAGCTCCTGTGACAGGGGCCAGAGAACAGCTCTGGGGGGCGGGGCACTGGAGTCTGAGGCCACCTTAGGCCAAGCAGTGGCTGGTGGCTTACAGTAGAGAGATACGGGAGGTTTTCTGTTTCCTCTTTCATAAGTTTACGTTTTTACTTGATATTTTGGCAAACGTTTATATCTGGAACCTTAAGCATATAGTATTGCTGTTTTCTACTTGGCTTTTGCAAACAAGCATTAAATGAATAAACTATACAAATAACTGAGTGATTTGCTTCTGTGATTATTTGTTAGTGTCTGTCTGCCCTTTGCCATTGAGCCTGTTCCCTCCATGGGGGTTTGACCAATGTGTGGTTTATTTATTTATTTTTAATGAGCCATTCTACACATGTTTACTGAACACCTGCCATGTGCCCGTGTTCTAAGTGCTTTACCTGTATTAAACTCGTTTAACTTTCACAACCCAAGGAGTGAGTACTACTGTTGTCATTTTTCGGAGGAGCCAGCATCAGGGCGGAGATGAAGGGAATAAGAGGCAGAGCTGGCTGGGGTGCAGGTGGTGGCCCTCGGGGTCTGCGTTCCTAGCTACACTTCCTGAATGAATGAATCAAAGGAGCAGGCTTCCCCTCTTCTCCCTAGCCCATAGCACGTGGGTATTCTCTCTTCCTGGTCATCTGCCCTGTCAGTCCACACTTTTCATCATCTGGCCCAACCAGCTCTTCTCTGATGCTCCCCGTTTCCTGCCTTCCAAACTGGGGACACTTTAAGAAATTCCTCTGCAGCAATTGCTAAGTTGGCATGAGGCAAAGAGTCTGCCCCAGAAGACCCCAGCCCCTCCCCCAGGCTGTCATGGGCTCCGCCCTCCTGCCCATGGGGCTGTTTTGAGGATTCCATTTCATGTATTCATTCTTCAAGGAAGTACTGAATGACTACGGAGAGCCAGGGCCTGTGCCTGCTCGTACCAAGCAACGGTGGTGAGCACAAACCACAGGGCCCTCCCTGCAAGGCTGTGGCCTCGTGGGAAAATGCCCTTCCAATTGTCCCACTGGCACATGTTAACTCCGGTTCCCAGCTACCACCGTGGGGGGGGGGGGGTCCCGTCAGACACACAGGAGGGAACTGAGGCTCAGGCAAGTTTGGTTCCTTGCCCGAGGTCAGCCAACAAGGATGGGGCGGAGCAGGGTAGAGCACCTACGACAACCTGGCCTGTGCTAAGTGTCTGGACAACACCAACAGTGCAGGGGGCAGGGGGACTACTGTGTCGTACAAGTGACCAGAGAAGGCAGCGCCTGAGTGGGGGTGTGGGTGGAGGGAGTGGGGTGGGGGAATGCCCCAAGTGGCAAGAAAGGTGCCGCCGGGCTGAGCTGGGAGAGGACGCTATGTCTGCATGATGGCTGCTCTACTGAGATTGTTTTTGTTGTCATGATTTCAAACTTGGGTCAAGTAGCTTCCAATTTCACTCATCTTCCAGTCCCTGCCTCCCCCTACCCCCCAATCCCTGCACCCAGCCCTGCGCCCAGCTCCCCACAAGCCCTCCCTGCCCCATTAACCGCCCCCCCCCAGCAAGTACAGAGAGCAGGGCTGGCAGTGGACTGCTGAGTGGGCGCTCGGAAGGCTGCAGCTTGGCCGGGGTTGGAGAAGTTTCCCCGGCGAGCCTGCCTGTGTGCATGCGTGGAAGGGTCTCGAAGCCACGGAGCCAGCAGTGGCTGCTAAGAGTTTGCATTAGAAAGTCGGGTAAGTTTCATGTTTCCCACTTTATAGATTTGTAATTGCTTTTGGTATCTTGAAAATGCTCGTATTTGAAACATACTACACATCTGCTTTTCACTTGCAGATTCAGAACAAATCTTTAAATGAAAGATCAGGATTAATAGCAGCACGAACTGGGTACCATCAGTGTGAAACGACCACTGAGAAGTCAGCATTGTCCAGCTGTGAGAGGTGCTGGCTTGGGTCCCAAGAGGTGGGCGGCCAGTGTGGGTGAGGTGACATGGAGAGGCTGGGGGGTGGGTGCATAGTGTGTGTTGGGGGCGCCCATCAGGCGCTGAATTTTATCGGTGGGGTCATGGGAAGCCACTGGGGGATTTCTTAGGGGAGAAACCTGGCTGCTGTGCGGGGCTCGACTGGAAGGGGTCAGCTAGATGTCACAGTCATTTTCTGGGAAGGAAGATGGGCAGGTTTGGGGGTTGAAGGGGAATCGAGCGTTGAGTTGTGGACATGTTGAGTCAACATGCCTGTGGAATATGCGTGGGGATCTTTCTAGATAAGTGCTTTTTTATTTTTATTTATTTTTATTATTTTTTATTATTTTTTGAGACAGAGTCTCGCTTTGTTGCCCAGGCTAGAGTGAGTGCCGTGGCATCAGCCTAGCTCACACCAACCTCAAACTCCTGGGCTCAAGCAATCCTGCTGCCTCAGCCTCCCGAGTAGCTGGGACTACAGGCATGTGCCACCATGCCCGGCTAATTTTTTTATATATATATTAGTTGGCCAATTAATTTCTTTCTATTTATAGTAGAGACGGGGTCTCACTCTTGCTCAGGCTGGTTTCGAACTCTTGACCTCGAGCAATCCGCCCGCCTCAGCCTCCCAGAGTGCTAGGATTACAGGCGTGAGCCACCGCGCCCGGCTTGCTTTTTAATTTTTTTGAGACAGAGTCTCACTCTATTGCTTGGGCCAGAGTGCCATGGCGTCAGCCTAGCTCACAGCAACCTCAATCTCCTGGGCTCAAGAGATCCTCCCGCCTCAGCCTCCCGAGTAGCTGGGACTACAGGCATGCGCCACCATGCCCGACTAATTTTTTCTATATATTTTTAGTTGTCCAAGTAATTTCTTTCTATGTATAGTAGAGACGGGGTCTCGCTCTTGCTCAGGCTGGTCTCGAACTCCTGAGCTCAAATGATCCTCCCGCTTCAGCCTCCCAGAGTGCTAGGATGACAGGCATGAGCCACCACGCCCAGCTTAGATAAGTGCTTCTTAACCGTTTTAGGGTTCAAGGACCTCTCTGAGACCCCCTCTCCAAACTAGTCCCCAGAGGCTTGCACACACAATGTGGGGGGCTTCTGAGAAGCTAGAATCCCACTTTAGTTGCACGTGTACATCAGACAGACGCTGCCCTTACCACTGGAAGACAGCGATCTCTTGGTTGTCCACGACCAGCTTCCCGTTCCTGTGTTCCACGTTGCCCTTGTACCGGCCATGGGTGGAGTCATACTTAAACATGTACACCTGCGGGAGACAGAACAGCTGCCAGTCTTGGGGCAGCAGAGCGAGCACCCCTGGAGTGTCCCTGCCTTGGTGAAGAAGGCTCCACATTGCCGCTGGAGCTGCCCAAGCCCCGTCCCCAGCCTAGTCCTGCCCTTCCGGTCCCAGCTGTCTGCCTGCTGCTCACCATGTATTCTGGGTCGATGAACGGGTCATTCACTGCCACCACCTTAATACCCTTCTCCATGCAGGCGCGCAACACCAGCCGACCAATGCGTCCAAATCTGGCCGGGCCCGGGCAGGGGAGAGGAGGGGAGAGGAAGGGAGAGAAGGGTCACGGAGAGGAGGCCCACTCGAGAGGACCGGGCGGGGATCCTCTATCTGGGGGAAGAAGGCAGCCACCTCTGTGCTGGCCACTGTCCCCTCCTGCCCAGATGACCTTGCCAGCCTCTCCAGTGCTTTTGCTGCTTCCTCTTTCCAACTGTCCCCTGACCCCATTCTTTTTTTTTTTTTTTTTTCCCCTATATTTAACCTCGTAGCTGGATGGATCTTTTACAACTTCAAGTCAGGGCTGGGCGCAGTGGCTCACGCCTGTAATCCTAGCACTCTGGGAGGCCGAGACGGGAGGATCACTCAGGTCAGGAGTTCGAAACCAGCCTGAGCAAGAGCGAGACCCTGTCTCTACTATAAATAGAAAGAAATGAATTGGTCAACTAAAAATATATGGAAAAAAAAATTAGCCGGCGTGGTGGTACATGCTTGTAGTCCCAGCTACTCAGGAGGCTGAGGCAGGAGGATCGCATGAGCCCAGGAGTTTGAGGTTGCTGTGAGCTAGGCTGACGCCACGGCACTCTAGCCAGGGTGACAGAGTGAGACTCTGTCTCAAAAAAAAAAAAAAAAAACCCTTCAAGTCAGATTATGTCTCTTGGCATGAAAATCTCCACGTCTTTCCATCAGCAAAACAAGATCCAGACTGCTCACCATGGTGTCCCAGGCCCCTGCCAGGCAGTCCCCTCCTGTCCCCTCCCCCAGCTTGCTCTGCACCAGCCACGCGGACTCCCGGGTGGCCCTGGACACGCTGAGCTCGGCTCCTGCACCCAGACTGTTGCTTGTCCTTCCACCTGGAAGACTTTCTCCAGCAAGGGGCACAGCTGGCTGCCTTCTATCTCTCCTGCCTCACCCCGATGTCACCTTCTGCCAGAGGCCTTCCTCGGCCACCTCCACTAAGGCTGCCCTCTCCAGCCTTATGGCACCACCGGGCTCTGTACTGCTCACAACACACACCACTGAGCCATCTTTTGTCTTTGATTATTGAACGGGAGCCCTGAGGGCAGGACCCTGTCACCCTAATGTCCTGCTGTTTCTCTAGGGCCGGCAGAATGAAAGTGGCTGAGGCAGAGAGATGTGGACATGCCCAGTTAGCAACCAGAGGAGGGGGCCGGGCTCTAAGGCTCCAGGACCTGCTCAGGGACCAGAGTAGACTCACCCATTGATGCCAACGGTCAACTCCCGGGATGGAGAAGCCTTCGGAGGTGGCGATGGTGGCTTTCCCTCCTCCCTGACTGGCTCAGGCTGGGGCGGGCAGTCTGCCTCAATCCTGGGCTCAGGTGGGGGTGGTGGTCTGGTCACTGTGGGCCGGGGGGAGGGACAAGGAGGGGTGGGGGATGAGCCGCACCACCCCACAGTGAGAAAACGAACCGTCTTTGCCATCAGAACCTGTCGCTGGCTCCTGGCCCCTGGGCCCGGACTGTCTAGCCCGGTGCTTCCCAGAATCAACGAGGGGTGGACTTGTTTTAAAACACCAGTGCCAGGCCGGGCGCGGTGGCTCACGCCTGTAATCCTAGCTCTCTGGGAGGCCGAGACGGGAGGATCACTCAGGTCAGGAGTTCGAAACCAGCCTGAGCAAGAGCGAGACCCTGTCTCTACTATAAATAGAAAGAAATTAGCCAAACAACCAAAAATAGAAAACATTAGCCGGGCATGGTGGTGTATGCCTGTAGTCCCAGCTACTCGGGAGGCTGAGGTAGGAGGATGGCTTGAGCCCAGGAGTTTGAGGTTGCTGTGAGCTAGGCTGACGCCACAGCATTCTAGCCTGGGCAACAGAGTGAGACTCTGTCTCAAACAAAAAAACAAACAAAAAACACCAGTGCCAGGACCTCGTCCCTGGAGAGTCCCAGTGAGTGGGTGTATATTTTGAACCATTGTTCGGGGTGGGATTCCCTGGCCTCAGTTTCCTCTTCTGTAAAATGGAGGCAATAGTAGTACTTCTCTTAGATGGTCATTGTGAAGACTGAACGAGGTAATATACGTAGGGCCTAGGAAACATTCCACACATTAGGATTTTTAAGACGGCTTCCCAAATTTGTCTGGTCACTGACTTATTCCAGTGGTCCCCAAACTGTTCTGATGGTCAGAATCACTCGAGGAGGCCTCTTCCTTGGAAAAATCTAACTCGCTAGGTCTGTACTGAGGCCCCAGGAATCCTGTTTGTAACAAACACTCCAGGTATTTCTTATCCTCGGGGGAGTGTAGGGAGTACCGCGTGTCACACTGCACGAAACAGATGGAAACTCACGCCAGCTTCGGCCTCTCTGCACACACACTCCTGCTCCCATGCCACACTTACAACTTACAGCTGTGCTTCTAACTGAGCCACAGAGGAAGGCTCGAGGAGAGGAGGGGAGAAGTAGAGGCTTAGGGGTCCTGGGTGGCAGAGGTTTGCCAGCCGGGAAGTCAAGCCTGGATGCCAGCCCTGGCTCAGTCACCTGCTGCTGTGTGGTCTTGGGCAAGTTAATGAACCCCTCTGGTCTGCTTCCTGGGTGTCATAGCTGATCCTCCACCCAGGGGCTGCTATGAGGGCTCCTGGGAATCTCAAGGTCCAAAGGTGGGAGCTGATTTTAACAGAGGGGGAGGGACGTCTGATCCTAAGAGTGCCCATGAGGACAAGGACCGGGGAGAGCAGGGTTTGGGGAGGGGCTGGAGGGTGATGGTGGGAGGTGCTTCAGGCACCTGGGAGGAGGTGGGGCTACAAGGGGGGCACCCCGAGGAGTTGGGGGCCCATTTCCCTCATCTCTCCCTTGTGGCTTGAGGCTGGACTGCGGGTGTTTCCAACAGCAGAACAAGTTCAGGAAGTACTATCGGTCAGTGTTTCTGGGTGGCAGTGACCCTGTGGTTATTGGTGACCTTGAGGATGCTTGCATTCTTGGGGGATCTCTCTTTTTATTTTTATTTTTTTTTTGAGACAGAGTCTTACTTTGTTGCCAGGCTAGAGTGAGTGCCATGGTGGCATCAGCCTAGCTCACAGCAACCTCAAACTCCTGGGCTCAAGCGATCCTCCTGCCTCAGCCTCCCAAGTGGCTGGGACTACAGGCATGTGCCACCATGCCCGGCTCATTTTTTCTATATATATTAGTTGGCCAATTAATTTCTTTCTATTTATAGTAGAGACAGGGTCTCGCTCTTGCTCAGGCTGGTTTCGAACTCCTGACCTGAGTGATCCTCCCGTCTCGGCCTCCCAGAGAGCTAGGATTACAGGCGTGAGCCACCTCGCCCGGCCTCTTGGGGGATCTCTTTGTGCTACCATGAAAGGGAGAGATTTGTCCACCTGGGTTAAGAGTGGGCATCTGGGCCAGGCATGGCAGCTCACGCCTGTAATCCTAGCACTCTGGGAGGCCGAGGCGGGCGGATTGCTCGAGGTCAGGAGTTCGAAACCAGCCTTAGCAAGAGCAAGACCCGTCTCTACTGCAAATAGAAAAGAAATTAATTGGCCAACTAAAAATATATAGAAAAAATTAGCCGGGCATGGTGGCGCATGCCTGTAGTCCCAGCTACTCGGGAAGCTGAGACAGGAGGATTGCTTAAGCCCAGGAGTTGGAGGTTGCTGTGAGCTAGGCTGATGCCATGGCACTTTGGCCCGAGCAACAGAGTGAGACTCTGTCTCAAAAAACAAGCGTGGGCATCTGAGCTCACTCAGTCACCTTCTAGAAGAAAACTCAGCTGGCCCTCCTTGCCCAACTTGCCCCAGCTTTCCACTCCCCCGCCCTGGAGTGGGGTGCGGGCGAGGGTGCCTGGCCAGCGAGGTGCTGTTCTGAGCTCTTCGCACGCATCGTCTCTCTGAATCCTGTGAGGCGTGTGCTACAAACCCATTTTCCAGAGGAGAAAATAAATGAAGCCTGAGGTCGCAGAGCAATGATGAGCAGGGAAGGGGATCAAATCCCGTGCCTGTGAAATCTGTCTGTCGCGGGACCAGAAGCCCCGCCTGAGCCACGCCCCACCCCAGCCCCACCTGCCCCTGCGGGGGGCCAGGACCCCCCCAGGAGCAAGTGAGGAAAGGGGGGGATGGGGGCTGCCTTCCAGTGAGACCTGAGTTTTGCTTAGCGTGTGTGTGCGCGCCTGCGCGTCCGTGTGCCTTTGTGTGTGCACGCGCGTGCGTGGGTGTGTGTGCGTGCATGTGCGCGCCTGTGCGCGTGCGCGTCCGTGTGCCTGTGTGAGCGTGCGTGGGTGTGTGCGCGTGCATGTGCGCGCGCGCCCGTCTGCCTTTGTGCACGCGCGCGTGCGTGGGTGTGTGTGCGTGCATGTGCGCGCGTGTGTGCGTGCGCGTCCGTGTGCCTTTGTGCGCGCGCGCGTGCGTGGGTGTGTGTGCGTGCATGCGTGCGTGTCTGTGTGCCTGTGTGCGTGTGTGTGCGTGTGTGTGCGGTGCGGGACACGCACCCCCCTTAGCAGAATCCCAGCCTTGTCAGCCGTTTGTTGAGAGACTGAGTGGTTCGCCCTCCCCCGCAGCTCTGTAAAATGGGGACAGTGAACGCACGGCCTCACCAGGTGAGGCTGCAACGAGCCCGCGCCTGGACAGTGATTCGCAGGACCCTGGCAGGTGGCAAGCGTTCTTGCTTTGTGCACTACAGACAGGACAAAGCCACCAACACCCCAGTGACCCCTTTCGCACTGGTCGCCAGGAAGACCGGTTGTATGTGGAAACACTGCCTGCCCGGGCTCTGCCCACAGATGCCCCTGCTACACCCTTGGTCTCCCTCCGCTTCCCCTACACTTTCCGCCCTGGGCCGAGTCCCAGCCCCTCCGCCATAGCCATGGAAACCACCTGCCAGCAAACCCGGGGAGGTAAGGGGTAGGGAGGCACGTGGCTCCTGGAAGAAGGGACAGGCGGGCGAGGAGCGGCCCCATCCCTGCGCCTCCCCTCTCCCTGCGGGCCCTAGACGGGGCGCACGCTCCTGGAAGGAGGCATCGGGAGTCAGTGAGCGCCCTGTGTGGGGGTGGAGGTGCTCCCGGGCCACCCCCTCTTCCCCTCCCCGAGGTCGCCTGCCGCCTCCCTCACCCGGGCATGGCTGTCGCAGTAGCTGGACAACGGTGACATTGGTGAGGACGATGTCGCGTTTCGACATGGCCACCTAAGGTATCATTGCTTAGCCGTCCCGGGACCTGCCGTAAGGTTACTGAAGTGCGGGACGCCCCTGGCGCTGGTCAGTCTGGAGCTTCTTGCCGTGACGTCATAGTACCCAGTGACGTCACAGGGAAGGCGGCGCGCTGGCTGGAGACCTGGGGGTCTGCGCGCCATCCGCCGTTCCAAGGCCACCTGCTGGCCTCTGGAATGGAATCCAACATTTTGTTTTTTTTTTTTTGGAGACAGTCTCGCTCTGTCGCCCAGCTAAAGTGCCGTGGCATCAGCCTAGCTCACTGCAACCCGAAACTCCTGGGCGCAAGGGATCCTCCTGCCTCATCCTCCAGTGCAGCTGGGACTGCAGGCATGCGCACTGCGCTCGCCTAATTTTTTTTTTTTTTTTTTTAGTAGAGACAGGGTCTCGTTCTTGCCCAGGCTGATCTGGAACTCCTGGCCTCAAGTGATCCTCCCGCCTTGGCCTCCCAGAGTGCTAGGATTACAGGCTTTTAACACTGGTTCTTGAAGTCATTTTCTCTCTTCCCTCTGTCTTCCTCTGCACACTGCTCCTTGACCTGTCCTCTGCAGTCACCCTGTTTCCTTACGCCTGCAAAGCCACACCCTCAGCTTCTCCTGGCTTCCCTCGGGTGCCATCCTCTAAAAGAGGCCCTTCTGGACTCCCTGTCTAAAATTTCCTCCCCTCTCAGTCACTATCTGCCTCTCAGCCCGGTCCGACTCCCCACCTGGGTTGCATGTTCCAGTGTGCAAAACTCCTCCGGCACTACACTTTCGATATTTTTACTTTCCTTATAGAATGTTTTCCCAAAAATCATCTTATTTATTTTCTTGCAAATCATCTCTGCCTACTAGACTCTGGGACTCTGGGAGGGCAGGGACCTCATCTATCTTTGTCACTTCTACATCCTATTGGCTAGAAGGAGGTTTGGCACTTAGAAGGTGCTTGCTCAATAAATAATATCTGAATGAATAAATAAATGTCACCTCCTCAGGTCATCTGATCCCCAATCTTTCAGCACCCTCCAACTCATATCCTCTGACAGCACCTGTCCTTGTCCTTGTAGCTCTTCAGGCAGTTTGCCATGATCTAGCTATGGGTTTTCTTGCTCATGTCTCCCACTTGGGCTCTGAGCCCCCCACAGGGCACGTGTCCCCATCTGTCTGTTCTCCACGGTGTCTCCAGCACCTAGGAAAGAGCCTGGCACATGGCGGCGGGCTTTCAACAAACATCTGAGGAAGCACAAGTGGACAAATGGCCCCCTCCTGAAGCACCGGGTGCCGGGGGGCCTGTTTGTACATCAGTGACTCACAGGCAGGCACCTTCACCCGCACAGCCGGTTGCCACGCAGCTGTGACCAAGATTTAGGTGGCATAGAGGTTTGTGCCAGGAAGGAGTCATCATCCCAGGGAGAGAGAGGAGGATGCCAGAATGGACAGCATGACATAACCTCTTCCTTCCCCAAACTTCCATGGGAACTTAGTTTGCTGAGCACCTACCGTGACCCCCAGAGAGAGCGAGGTTGTCCCGTGTGGTTGGCCCGGGACAGGTGGGACTGAGAACAAATGGAGTGTACAGATGAGGGGATTGCAATGAACCAAGACCAAGAGACAGACGATGAATTAAACGAAGGGGATAAACTTTGCTGTCCAATCAAGGAGGAATTAAACCACAGCACTGACAAAGCCAGGATTTAAGAGGGACCGATTTTGTGCAACTTTACAATAACAGAGTTGCAGTTAAAATTTTTCTTAGCAGATATAAAGGATCAAAATGGGTGCAAGAAGAAATGGCAAAGCCGGGCGCGGTGGCTCATGCCTATAATCCTAGCTCTCTGGGAGGAGGCCGAGGCTGGAGGATCGTTCGAGGTCAGGAGTTCGAAACCAGCCTGAGCAAGAGCGAGACCCCGTCTCTACTATAAATAGAAAGAAATTAATTGGTCAACTAATATATATAGAAAAAATTAGCCGGGCATGGTGATGAATGCCTGTTGTCCCAGCTACTCAGGAGGCCGAGGCAGAAGGATTGCTTGAGTCCAGGAGTCTGAGGTTGCTATGAGCTAGGCTGACGCCACGGCACTCACTCTAGCCTGGGCAACAAAGCAAGACTCAAAAAAAAAAAAAAAAAAAAAAAAGAAGAAATGGCAAATCTGAGTAGGCCAACAATAAAAGAAGAAAAAAAGAAAGATATATTTTCCCAAGGATTGATTCGGATCCAGACAATTTTATGGGCAAGGTCTGCTGAAGCACTGGGGGAACAAATATCTGTCATTCTGTACTGGGATTGTCCCAGATCCCAGCTGGGAAGCCCAGTGGCCGCTCTGGTGCCCAGGGCTCCGGAGAGGGCCCTGGCTCTGAGCCTGTCCCTTCAGCCGGGCCAGCACTCCGCGGACTTGCACCTCACACTTCTTTGCTGTGCTTTGGGGGAGAACTGTGATGGCTCAGCTGCTTCCTCCGTTCGCTCTACGAACCCCACGTGACCATGCTACCGACAGCAGCAGAGGACGGCCTGAGAAAGGACAACTCCAGGTTGGTTATGGAGACAGATACCAAAGTCCTCAAATAGCCTTAAATGGGACTTGAGAGACCCAGGAGAGGGATTGAGTCCGACAGGAGACGGGAGGATGGGCAGAGAGAGGGATGGGAAAGCAAAGACGGAGGAACATAACGAAACGAGAAGCCCCACGTCGCAGTTGTGGGGTAGGTTTGCATTCTGAAGCTCACCTTCCCCACCCAGCCATCTCCTGCCATGGGAAATTCCGTCACTTAGGCACTGGACAAGGGCAGGTTGCCCAGGAATTTGGCTTTGTCCCTGGAGCGTGAAACTGGGGAACAGAGTTGATGAGCTCAAGCTCACAGAGGTGGCGCAATTAGTCACCCTGTCTAGGCAGAGCCTGGAGAAGCTCCCGGGTGCCTGGCCTGGGATGCCTGGCTCTGGGTGGGGCCAAGTGTCCAGGCTCTGGGTGGAACCCCAGGTCCTCTGAGGGGAGTGGGCCTTGGCGCCCTGGTTTGAGCAAAGCCTGAAAACACGTGCAGCTTCTCACCACACCTGGGCACCCACGCGCATAGCTCCGCCACCCCCGGGTGCTCACACCCTGGGCATTCCTTCCCGCCTGGACTTCCCACCAGCAATCCCACCTCCACCCCCTCTCTTAGTCTCTCCCCTTGGCACCAAAACCCAAATATCTCTCACCCCTGCACCCATCTGTACCCGCCCACTGGTTCCCAGACCTACCACCCACCGCCTGCCTTTCCTTCCAACGCCCCTCTTCGTACCCCGGGCCAAACTCTCCGCTGCTCCCCCTCCAGCCCGGGCCAATATGTCAACATGGGGGGCTCCAGGTTGGGGCTCAGGAGGCCCCAGGGGAGGAGGGCAGGAAGCTAAGCGTCTGGCTGCAGCCCAGGTCCTGGCTCAGTCTCCTGCTGCCCCGGGTCTTCAGCCCCTCCCGGTGGCTGCCTCAACCGGCTTTTCAGGAGACACTGCGTCCTGTTCCAGCTCATGGCAATCAGCCCCCTGCCCTCGCCCAGGGGCTAGGAGACAGGAGGCCCGAGCTCTGTGACAAGAATGCGATCCTGACTCCGAAACCTGCAACACTCACTCCCCAAGGGACCCTGTGCCGCTCTGGGACCCAGGAACCCGCCCCTCCAGCTCCCGAGAGACTCAGGACTCTCTCCCCTTGGCTTCGTCTGAGCCACTAATTGTCAGTCTATAAACATCTACTGGACCACAGGCGAGGTTCTAGGGGCTGGGGACACAGCAGGGACCAACACAGACACAGGCCCTGTCCTCTAAATGTTTACAACCGGCCGGGAGAGGTGGCTCACGCCTGTAATCCTAGCACTCTGTGAGGCCGAGGCAGGCAGATTGCTCAAGGTCAGGAGTTCGAAACCAGCCTGAGCAAGAGCGAGATCCTGTCTCTACTATAAATAGAAAGAAATTAATTGGCTAACTAATATATATAGAAAAAATTAGCCGGGCATGGTGGCGCATGCCTGTAGTCCCAGCTACTTGGGAGGCTGAGGCAGAAGGATTGCTTGAGCCCAGGAGTTTGAGGTTGCTGTGAGCTAGGCTGACACCACGGCACTCACTCTAGCCTAAATGTTTACAACCTCGTGAGACAGACAATAAAAAAATAAAGGTAATTCCGGATCACAGTAAGAGCTATAAAAACAAAGGGTGCTTTACAGAGTGTAAGTGTCATGCCGGGCTGTGGCTGGGTGGCCAGGGGAGGCCTCTTTGAGAAGGGGGCATTTGTCTTCTGCATTCTGGGCAGAGAGAAGAGCAAGGGCGGAGGCCACCAGGCCGGAATGAGCGGGAGAAGGCCTGTGTGGCTGGATGCAGTGAGGGGCAGGGGGGTGGCCCACAAGGACAAGGTCTGATGACAGCCCCCACTCCCCCGCCAGAGCTCGCCCCTCTCCCAGCTGTGCCTCCCATCTTTCTAGACCCTCAGTGCTGCGGCGGCCGGATGCTTAGATCCCGCAGAGGAGTGAGGGGTGGAAGAATCAGCGGGGTCTCAGGGATGGAGGGTGACTGCAGGTGCGTTTGGGAGACAGGAGGCCTGGCTGGTGGGTGAGGAATGAAGGGGAGGTGGCTGGAAGGGCAGACACCCGTCTCTGGGGTGGAGGGCCTGTGCCGGGCAAGGAGCAGAGATGCCAGAGCTGCTCTCCGTCCATGACTCACCCTCTCTTCCTCCTCTTCATTGCTCAACTCCCAATCTCCCTGGGAAATACCTCTTGACTGAGGACCAAGTCAGTGCCTCTCAGAGGCAATTGAGTCACGAGGGGTGGGGAGGAGAGGATAAATAGCAGCCTTGCCGGCCCGGCTTCTCTCTGCATCCTCCCGCCCTCCCTGCAACATGCATCTTGCCGGGTTGGTCCGCTCCTGCTCCCTCCTCCTGCTGCTGGGGGCCCTGCCCGGCTGGGCAGCCAGCGACGACCCCATTGAGAAGGTCATCGAAGGGATCAACCGGGGGCTGAGCAATGCAGAGAGAGAGGTGGGCAAAGCCCTGGAAGGCATCAATAATGGAATCACCCATGCCGGAAGGGAAGTGGAGAAAGTTTTCAATGGACTCAGCTCCATGGGGAGCCAGGCCGGC